CAGAGCTTCAGTAACCATAAGGTCACGAGTTCAATCCTCACCGCCCCCCACTTGTGGAATTAAATAAGCATAAGGTAAACCAACAAAAAAAAAATGGGCCTATGCAATATTCACATTTTAAGCCCAAAGGGCTCTTGCGTGAGGGGGTGTGTTAAAGAATAATATAAACCATTAAAAAGACTCTCACCAAACACCTTAAGGTTTTGGGTTGAAGTGGTTCTTTACATTGCTAACATCATGATGAATTGATAATGCTGGCAGCAATAGAATAGGTTGGAGACCAAATCACTTTAGCATATTGGCTTAGTTTTGATATTGAGGTTGATTGAAATATTTCCTTACTTTACTGGATAATAATTGATTGTGATCATAGGTTCAGTAGCATGCTACTAAGGCTTCTGATTTCATGCTAGAATCTTGTATAGATAGTTGATTTGCCATCTATATGACAACTTCGATAAATGAGGCAACAACTGGTTTAGTAAGTTGCATGTTTTCATCATTAGATAAAAATTGAGTTTCTTTTTTCATTTCTGGCTGGCAGGAGTCATATTAGGAGTTCCACTGCTCATTCAGATGAAGTGGCACAATGAGCCACGATATCTAAATTAAGCCAAAATTCTATGACTATATAATCATTTAGTTCATGCTTTCTTGATACTGTTGTTCCCTGTGTCCGTGCTTTTCTTCATTCAAATTGAAAAATGCCTGCCTGCAATTCTGCTGTTTTTTTTTTATTTTCGTAAAACCAAATACAAGAATTTATGCACTCTATGTACTTTACTATCTACAGCTGGTCAGACAGTTGCAAGGTCAAGATGAAAATCCTTTTGGAGATGATGCATCAACAACACCAAAGAAAATTTTTCAGCTTTTAAATCAGGTAATGCTTTTTTGTAAAGGACTTAGTTTTTTTGATGGGGATTTGCGTCAGCCTAATTATGTACAACTAATAATTGAATATTTGACATTCAATCTTGTCTCTTTTCTGTTTTTGGTTTGTGTTAAATCAACGTATTCTTTGAAGATAATGTGCAGTTAGTTGGTTAATTTGTTTGATGATACTTTTGCCTTTAACTATCTCAGACCATCGAGACTCTGTCAGGTGTCCTGGCACCAGAATTAGGGTTGCAGTTGTGCTTGCAGTGCGCTGAGGTACTGCAATATATTTGGTTCTAACACATCAAAATGATATTTTGTAACTATATTTGCTGATTTTCTTTTTTCTTTTCTTCCATAAGGCTGCAAATGACTGTGATCTGGAACCAGTTGCATATGAATTTTTCACCCAAGCTTATATTCTATATGAAGAAGAAATCTCTGTAAGTCTTATCAGTCACACACACCCCAGCGCCCCACTAAAAAAAAAAAATCCCCTTTCTTATCATGGGACTGAGAGTAAGTTTGGAGGACAAATGTTCGCTGTCAAAATTTATTGGTTAGCTATGCTCAATTATGCGTTTGTGTTGTGATACTAGGATTCCAGAGCACAGATCACAGCTATCCATTTAATAATAGGAACTCTTCAAAGGATGCATGTCTTTGGTGTTGAGAACAGGGATACTTTAACGCACAAGGCCACAGGGGTGATTATTGAGTTCCATTATTTGCATAGTGCTTATGTATATTTTTCTGCTAGATCCTAATATGGTGCCTTTTCATTGGACAGTATTCAGCAAAGCTTTTAAAGAAGCCAGATCAATGCAGAGCTGTGTATGCATGCTCACATCTGTTTTGGATTGATGATCATGATAACATGAAAGATGGAGAGAGGTGTGTTTCTATTGATAGGAGATCTCATACTTTTGAGGAATGCGTTTCTTTGTGTTGTTATGCTCTTAAGGTTGTTTAGGGCTTTTCCCAGTTGCTGTTTAGTTGAACAGAAGTAGTTTAGGTGAATTTTATTTGTCTATGTTCCTAATAATCCTATGCAATACATATGTAATTGGAGGAGGAGAGTAAGAATGATTTTAACCAGCGCTGATATCCCTCAAGGGAGTGAACATATTTATTCACTGACTCTGCAGAACATGGTGATAAGTTGGAAATGCCGAGAAAAAAAGAAAGAAAGAGGGGATGTTGGATACGTGATACGTCTCGTAAAACTGGAAAAGGAATATGGGAATTTATTTCTGAATTTATCTTATTGTGATTCTTACTGATTTTATTGTTTTATTCATCATTATTTTGAACCAGAGTCCTATTATGTCTGAAGCGAGCTTTAAGAATTGCAAATGCCGCACAACAAATGGCAAATGCAGCACGAGGTAGCACTGGATCAGTAATGCTCTTCATTGAGATATTGAACAAGTAAAATTAGCATCCATAATCTTAAGTCAGCATTGTTTTTCTTTGCTTCTCAACAGTATAAAATGTAATAATGATGCCGTGTTTGTTTTTGCTAGGTATCTTTATTTCTTTGAGAAGGGTAACCCACAAGTCAACGTTGCTGCTATCCAGGGCCTAATTGAGTTAATTATGAATGAAATGCAAAGTGACACCACAACTGCAGATCCAGCAGCGGATGCTTTCTTAGCCAGTACTGTGCGATATATACAGTTCCAGAAACAAAAAGGCGGCACTGTAGGTGAGAAGTATGAACCCATCAAGGTTTGACATGCTGGATGACTGATACCCTTGGTCTTGTCAAGACATTGGAGCAATTTGTTCTTGGGCTGGTCCAGCAACTGTTTACGATTGTCTTTTGGATTTCAACTGAAGAACCACAAGTTTGTGTGTTCCTGATATATGCTGACAGCAAAAAATACTCGGTCACTGAGTTAGGACTCCGATTCACTATGTAACTAATGAGACTGAGACACTATTGAACTTTGCTGGAACTTTTTTTTCCCAACTTCCCATCAGTTAAGTAAATTTATTTGTAGTACAGTTGCTAGATTTAAATTCTTCAAGTTTTAGACTAAGGTTTACACGGAATTATGGATTTCTAGTGTCTATCTATAGGCAGACAATTACTGTCGTTTATTTTTATTTTTTTTAATAGAAATCAGGTACATATTGAGGAGTGTTTCTTTCTTTGCTTTGTTCGTATTAGGATGGTTTATTGTTGAAAGTACCCGTTGTTTTGGATAGGCGGGAATGGACTGTTTATTTGGGTGATTTGTTGATGTAACGTTACCTTATGATCTTGAAAATTCCCATATTTATCTTTTTATTAATAATTTCAAAGTTTAAATTCTGTAAATAAGTGTGGGGATCATTAAAGATGGTTATATATGTACTTTCAGGTATAAGACGATATAAGAAAATGAGGAATTCAGCTGAAGACGCATGATGAACACGTTGGGTAGAGAGGCAGTAAAATTGGGGTTTAGGAAGAGTACCGTAACTGAATAAGTTCATAAAAAAATGGGTCAATGGATTTTTGAAAGGGGTAAAACATGATTAGAAATTTAGTATTAGTATATTTTGTTTATTTTTTCTTCATATTTTTGGCGTTTGACTAGGGTAATCTCAAGCATTTTTTTGCCTCGTTTTGCTTTTGCTTCATATTTTTGTTTAGTAAGTTTCTAATAGAAATAAAGAAATTATTGTATACATGTATGTCATGTTTTGGGGGGGGGGGGGGGGGGGAAATCATCAACAAATCGAGTCTCATTTGTAATTGGATCAGTTCAAACTATAGAAGTAGAAATTCTTACTTCCTACCCTAGTTTAAATAAAAGTTTTTCTGCAATGCAAATAGGCACTCAGGGAGTGTGTTTGGTAGAGGAATTTTTTTTATGTTTCTGGAAATATGCTGGGAAAGTGAATTTTTCAAGAATGTTATCAAAGAATTGTTTGGTAAATCAAAATATTCTTAGGAATGTTAGTTTATATTTCTTGATTCTATGTTTGGTTTATTGTCAATGACTCTTGGGAATGTAGACTAATTTTACACAATTAATCTTTGATGAATTTTGAATTTTTTTTCTAATGTACCACAAAAGGGTCAAAATGCAACATTGGAGATCAAACCCAAAACTGAGGTGTCATGAAAGGGAAAAGAGGAACTCACTATTTTATGAAGCAAGAGTATTGTAACTGGAGCTTTAACAAAGAGACGGTATTTTAGTCATAAAAATATTAAAATAGGGTTATGTAAAAAAATTTCATCAAGTGAAAATCCAAAAATACCACTCATCTAGTGATATTATTTCATGGGATTTTTATTCATACTTTTAATTCCCAGAATCTCATTCTTTATATCAAATATGAATAACTAGAATTTTCAATGCGAGTTTTCTGGCAAGCAAAAATTTATCCCACTAACACACGACCCTGAACCAAACAAAAAAGCATTACTATACAATTACGGATTACCTTGTAATTAATTGGGTGGATGGAAAAATCATGAGGCTTGACTCAATCAGCAAACTGTCTCATGTATGAAACTTGACTTGCGAAGATTCGTCACCCATTAAAAACACCTTATACTTAAGATCTCGTCAACGCTCAAATATAGACGAGTACTTCAACAAAAAATGTAAAATAACTTAAAAAAATTAATAAATTAAGTAGACACACACACACACACACACACAAAAAAAAAAAACTTTATTGTTTGTAATTTTACATTTTTGGAAAATCTTGGGATTTGCTATAGAGGTAATATGAATATAACAAGGGCTTTACTTCTCTCATGTTGAAAAAGAGAAGTTATCTTATGTTGTGAGATAAATTAAATGAGGCCCATCAATTTTATTTTTTAAAAAAAAAGTGAGACATTTTTTTATGTGAGTGTAATATGAGAGATGAATCTTACGTAACATAAGAGTATAATTTCCCATGTAACAAATAGTGTAGAAATAATGCGTACCCGCCCCTGCATTCAACCAAAACGATACAAAATAATGCTAGGAAACAAATAAACTGCTCCAGACTTAACCGGTTTATCCACCAAATGACAACTATGAAACAACTATAGACCTGAGCACACAGCCAAGACTTCTATCGAAATACAAATAATATATATATTTATATCTTCAAGCAAACCAGGTCGTTATCCTAACTTGGGATATTCCAGTAATCCAGTCTATTAATACATAAATCAAATCGGAAGTTATGAGAAAAAGGTTGGAACCATGAAATGCAAATTTGACTATTAAAGTTGACAATGATTCAAAGAAAGCAAAGCATTAAACCAGCTTATGCTTCAAGATCTAGAGTATTTGTCTGGCGAACACCCAGATAGACAACTTCTTCAATAGCAAAGAAATGAAAAGGAAGGAGAGGGGAATACAGGTAGAACAAAGGGCAGTCAAATGTTTACACCTAGTGAATCACAATATTGAACAGGCTTTTTGTGCTTTACTCTTCTTTTTCTTCTGCTTGGGTGGTTGAAGGACAACTCTTATGGCTGCATCAAAGACTGCTTTCACGTTCTGAAATAAATGCCAGATATAAATTCAAACTACATAACGATTTAACCATTGTATATTAAAAAAATAAATAAATCAGAAATACATTTAGCTATGTACCTCCTGTGTTTTTGAACTGCATTCAATGTAAAAGGGTGCATTAATCAGCTTCCTAAGCTCTTCACCCTTTAAGTGGATGCACATATCAGAATCAATTTATTAAATAACTAAACGAGATTGCAGAGCACCAGAAGCAGTATTCACCTGAGCTGTGGTAATGGGCACGGCACCAGGATGGTCTATGCAGAACTGCTTATCATCCCGAAGGTCTATCTCATTACAAATTACAAAACAATAAGGAACTATCTCTTAATCGAGAAAAGCATCAATACAATAGGCATGGTTCAGGAAACTAACACAACCATTTGTACCCACAATAGAACAAAACAGGCCACGAATCTCAAAGGGAGATTATTTGAAAATATAAATACATATACAGAGACAGGGGCAGCCTATCTACAAATACAATGCATGAATAAAACTAACAAAGAACCAGAAATTTCAAAACATTGACCATAACCGCAGTATCAGATACATTGGAAAAACAATGGAGATGAAAAACTAAACAAAAAAAGAGAATAAAATGCGCCAGAAATCCACTCCCATCTAGCAAACAAAATGAACTCGTTTAACAGTTCATCACTCAGAAAATGGAAATTCCCAAAGATGTCGTATCTAAGGTCAACATTTATTGATCGTGAAATCCATGGAGTTAAGTTTATATATGATTTCATCATAACACTAACCGCTGATAATAACATAATAAATATGCTGGAAGGAAGCATCTAAAGAATGCATGATATCACGATATCAGTATCACATAAGGCAGCAATAAGCTTACCAAGCTTTGTGCCAACTAGAATTATGGGGACACCAGGTGCATAATGCTTCAACTCTGGAATCCACTGAAAACGAAATCAAATCAGCATATAAGCGATTTATGAGCATTTTTTTTATAAATTATTTTACTAACATATAACACAATCATTATATTGTTCATTACAGGTCATACAGAAACCTTGCATTATTTTCAAAGGAAATAAGCAGAAATACATCTAAAAGACAAGGAACACCACAGTAAAGTGGGATAAGAACCTTTTTGGAGACATTTTCATAACTGGCCTTGCTTATGAGAGAGAAAGCAAGTATGAAAACATCGGCACCACGGTAACTCAAAGGTCTTAATCTATTATAATCCTCTTGTCCTGCTCCACAAATAACAAAATAAATCCAGAAAGAACTTCCTACATTATAGAGTTTACAGAAATAGAAATATAAATATGCAATATTACCAGCAGTATCCCACAAACCCAGATTAACAATGCTTCCATTGACAACCACATTTGCGCTGAAATTGTCAAAAACAGTTGGCACGTAATCCTGTTTCCAAGCAAAGAGCAGCGTGAAAAAAAAATAAAAACAATTTGATGATTGCCACTCTTTTCCAGCAAATACACAAATACGACTCTCGCAGATTGTTAACCCAAGTGTACAATTCCAAAATCCAATGACTGCTCAGAGGATAAATTCAGAAACGAAATTTCATTATGTCCCTCATTTTCACCTTTAAATTAACACCCAATACATCTTCTCAAGTAATTTCCATAATTTACATATTTTTTTGCCTTATGAAGCATCTTCCATTGCTTTCCCAAATGGAGATGATATGCAACTGAACTTCATATTTGCGAAATTTAATCATCAACCCAATACCCCGAATCAAAATTTTGATTTCAAAAGGGAAATGTTGAAAAAACAGAAACATAAGAGAAATGAGGAAGAACTCACAGTGGGGAAGGTGTTGCTGGTGTAGGAAATTAGCAAGCATGTTTTGCCCACAGCTCCATCCCCAACAGTGACGCACTTAATGAACCTAGAAGCGCTCATCTTTTCAAGAGGGAAAAAAAAAAAACGAAAGCCTCAGATCTTCACCTGAGGGTCCAATCACACACCCTGTCCAACTTCTTCTCCTCCTCCTCCTCCACCTCCAGCTGCTTCCGCTTCAATTACACATCTGTGCGAAGCAAAACCGAAATCCATACAAAAGAAGAAGAAGCTCCCATGAATGAAAAAAAGAAAAGAAAAACCAAAACAAAAAAGTAAATGCCGAAACGAACGAACGAACTCGAACCCTAATTGCGAGAATGCAGAATGAGATTGTTAGGGAAAATGGGGAATTTCTGCGAGAAAAAGAAATAAAAATAGAAGAAAGGAGGAAACCCTAACCCTTTGGGAGGAGATGGCATTAAGCGTAACGTGATGAAGATGGAGAAGAGAGATAGAGAGAGAAAGACGAAACCTTTTAGCCCGCGAGATTTTGCCGTTGAAACGTTCATTCACCCAAAACAAAACAATCTTGCCAACAAATATTATTATTATTACCTTCGTCTTTTTTTTTTTTTAATTTTTTCCCCTTTTTTTGCCATTTTAGCTTGACGTGTTAATAGCCCAAAAATTCGGATCTGACTCACTTAATTCATGGTCACCAATGGTTTCCCATTTACTTTATTTTTTTTATGTTTTCTTTGTATCTTTATTACATGTTAAAATTCATTGCATTTTAACGGAAAATGGGGGAAAATGTCCAATGAAAGAATATTTTCTCATTTTAAAAAATATCAATAATTAATATTTTAAACATGACAAAGAAAATATAAATTTATTTCCAGGTGTTAAATAACATTTCTTTCAATATATGTATATTACATATACTAAGGAACTTCGAGAATTTAACCATACCAAAGTTAATAAAAAGAGTAGTTGATTTATTCAAAACTTCACTTTCATCACCATACTAATTCAAATTTCAAAACTTTTAATTGGATTAAAATAAAATCAAAATATTTCACTCAAATAATACAATAAGACACGCAGGGGGTCATGCGCATTCATATTATGCATGGAGATGTCGTGACTAGGGTTTAAATAGTGCAAGTTGTGCACCTATTCTATACGAAACTTGAATGCGCATACCTCATATGAGTCTTGCAATGCATGCCACGTGATAGACGTTCATTCGTCCATGTGTAAGTTGTGCACACCCTATACGCGACTTGAACGACCCCTGTATATTTCACTGCATTATTTTGATAAAGTCTTTTGATTTTGCATTAATCAGATAAAAAAATATCAAAATTTGTATCAAATAGGTCTAAATGCCATTTTAGAAAAATAAGGACATTAATTATATTTCTTTTTCAACAACGTCAATATATCTATTCTTTGGTAGAACATACCCAGCATGTTATGAAACTCGCATAATATATAAAATTAGAGTAAACATCCTTGATCCTTCTCTTGAATAGGAAATGTCAACCAACACAATTTATATTCACCATTGTAATTGATAATTGACATGAAACTGTATTTTTAATTTTTCATGTTTCCTTTGTTAGGCCTTCATATACAACAGTAAGGGCTTGTTTGGTGTAATGTATTAGACCTGATAGTATAAGCTTATACTATACGTTATGATATTTTTTGTTGTTTGGTGCGACCATCGTATTATATAAACTTATAAAACAGAATCCCTTAATACATAAAGATGATGTATAATTTCATCAGGTTTAGGGAGTGGGATTAGACCTGATAAGGGATCAATGTATGAGGTCAATCCCCTCCCAAATTCCTCTTTACCATTGTATCCCTATCTCTCTCTCTCTTCACACTCATCCATCTTAAGTTCCCTCGCCAACCCAACCCCTAAATCCTCCACCACCATCGTTCCTCCACCACCGAACATTTCATTTCTCGATTTGCCGCCGCTAGGCCTCGAAAGGGTGATGGTATCCTCGTTGAAGCTCTCAAACGCCAAGGCGTCATTAATGTCTTCGCCTACCCTGGCGGCGCTGTAAGAACTCGCATTGTTAATTAAGGAAGTTAATTAATTAATTATGTGAAATTAAAAAACAATTTCATAATTGACCCTAATAATTATTATGAGGCTCTAATAATTATAGTAAGTGAGTAATAATGCTGAAAGTCGCTTTTCTGACGAAAAGTGCAGATACTGGTTCGACTAGTCGATATAAATGCGTACTGATAAAGTATCCCGAAAAATTATAATAAGTGCATGAATATTCCTAGAATAACAAATAGGACTTGTAAAAACAAGTTTCAAGTTAAAATAATGAGAACTAGTGCCAGAACTGATACTGGCTATGGAAAAGCGCGTACCGAAAAGGTACTGCGAAAAATATAATAAAAATATGATAAATCTTGTAAAATTGAGTAGGTTCAGAATCCTGAGTTTGAGATTAAAATGCTAAGCGTAGCTATTTATGATAATACTGTGTGTTAATGACTTAACCGCCTATATATAGTGCTTGGCACTAAACCCTAGGCTGATTCTTCAGCCACTCTACGTGAGAGTTTGGAGCCAGCTGCTGCCACCTTCATTTCTTGACCTCTTTGGCTTGAAAATCTCCCAAGTTTGCACCTTTCTTCTCATTTCTCTTCATCTTCAAGCCTTTATACACTTGAGAATTAGCATTGTGAGGAGTTGTGGGTGTACATTCAGAACTTCCAACCACTGTTGGTTGGGGAGTGAACTGAGTTTCCTTGTTTTGAGTTGTTGGAGCCTTGTTCTTAGTTGTAGAAGCTCCAAGTATCTTCTTTTGTTAAGAAAGAACTCATCTTTGTTGGTCCATTTTCGTTCTCTCCAAAGTCAGTACCTTGGAGCTGACATGTGAGCTCCAAGAGCATCATTGGTTGGCTATTTGGACCTTTGGTAAGTGTTACAACCTCTGGTCTTGAGTTTAATTGGTTAAAAGAGATGTCTTGGCATGTTTAATAAGTTAAACAAGTATGTAATCTGAGTCTAAACCTAAATGTGCCTAAAAATAGAGTCTTGAACGTTTTGAATTGGTAAAAGTTGGACCTTTGTTGGATATCTTCGCGAAATGCAGAAGCTGCATTTTGTCGTGAAATATTCGGATATGGATATCCGGATATGATATCCGGATATTGATATCCGGATATGGGGTCTTTTGATATCCGGATATGATATCGGGATATGCGTATCCGGATATTGATATCCGGATATGTTCCTGACAGATATCCGGATATTCTGGGTTTTCGAGGAACAGTGGCTTACTGTTCATCCAGAACTGATGTTTGGGGTTTGTGGACCCTAATTTGAGGAAGTTGAACTTCTATAATAATTGGACTAAGTCATAATCAAGTGATTAAGGGCTTGTGGCTTTGTGAGAATCCTAAAGAAGTAAAACGTAAAGGAAAGGCGTTGTCTTTATGTTGTATGCTTGTAGAGTATGGATATTGATATATTGTTGATCCGAAACAGATTATGAATCTGCTGTGTTTTGGGCTTTGAGCTTGTGTGGACTCTGGGTTTGGATAGCTAGCTTACAAGGTAAGCTTTCGTGTCCTCGGTTTAGCCATGTTGTTGTTCCACCATACCCCATGGGAGAATGGTTTATATGCATGTTGTGTTACATGCTTTGGATATCTTGAAATGCTTTTGAGCTGGTATGTGCAATGACTTATAATATGTATGTCTTGTTTCCACTTAGTCGGTAAGCCTGGGTATGTAGCGTCATACAAGATGGTGAGCCCGTGGGTGGGTGCAAGTAGCGTCTTGCATATTGTGTGGGTAATAGACGTATTCCTGCATTTCTCTGATCAGTAGAATATAATTGACACACGACATGATTATCTGTTGCATTGCACTATTTTGGAAATTATATTGTTAAACTACTTTTGAACTTATATTGCACATGTAAGTGAGCTTGGGGTGGAAGATCCTTGAGGACCCCTTGTCTTACTGAGATTTCTTATTTAGAGATCTCACCCCACGTTTGGGGACGCTTATTTCAAGTTCAGGTAACTCGGGGGTTGAGACCTCGGGCGGTAAGAGGCCGGAGCTGAGTTAGATTATGCTGTTATCATGTTATTATGTTGTATGCTGGCATGTTGTGGACTTGGTTGCTATTTATGTTTTCTGTCATTTATGGTTATTGAGTTGAAACTGCTGTTGGGCTTGTGCCTTATTTGGTGAGCATGGGGTTTGTCTATGCCACTTTGATTTCCGTCTTGTTAAAGCTTATCTGTGTTGTATAAACTATCAGGTTGTTCGGTCTACGTGTTGTAGTTCCGTGACTAGAGACATATTTATGATATTAATTAATGAGGTATTTCAGTTAGCTGTCTATTTGCAATTTACATACAAGCGATGTTTTGGAAACGAATTAAGTAATTCAACTTGGTAAGGATAATGACGTCATAATTGAAAAGAAAAAGAATATTCCACACTTTTAATTAAGCGTAGCTTAATACGATGACATGGCATGTTAACAAACCGAGTTAACACGGGGTGTTACAGGCTCCTCCATGGAGGTCCACCAGGCCCTTACGCGCTCCGC